TGTTCACTTGAATTACCATAATTTATATCCTCTCAAATGCTTTGTCAGGTTGGGACGGCAAATTATGCTATGCGCAGGTGCGCACGACTCTAAAACGGCATCATTTTCAGGGAAAACGACGCTGTTCTAACTAAAAAAATAAATAAAAATTGTTCGAAAGGCCGTTAACCGCGTTAACAGTATATTCGTTATGAAATTATGAATGTACAGTTATAGAATTATGAATATATAGTTATGAAATTATGAACATAGAGTTTCGAAAATTATGAATGTTCGGTATGGAATTATGAATATACAGTATGGAATTATGAATGTACAGTTATATAATTATGAATGTACAGTTATGGAATTATGAATGTACAATTATGAAATTATGAACACAGAACTCTGACATTATGAACTTACAATTATGAACATAGAGTTTCGAAAATTATGAATTTACAGTTATTGAATTATGAATGTACAGTTACGGAATTATGAATGTACAGTTATGGAATTATGAATGTATAATTATAAAATTATGAACACAAAGCTATTAATATATGCTCCTATAACGAAGCGGTCTGAAATTAAATAAAATAATAAAAAAAGATAACGATGCCTGACGGCACCGTTACGTGCCCATGATGCACGCTGGGCACGAGTCCACAGCATAACGCCTCGTGTGGAACCCTTAGAGCTTAGGGTTGGTTCAACCTTTTAAAAGAATAATATAAACTCTCACTGAAAAATTAAATGCTAAATTTCATCAACCGGCCCAAATCTACCCAATATAGTATCTGTTCATAATTACTTTATTAGAAAGTGTCAATACTATCTTCATTGAGATAAAATCTATAAACTTCCATTAAGAAAAGTCACTTTGTGCCTCTACACCATAATGTACCAGAGGATTGTATTCAATTTTATCAAAATTTCACTTATATTGAAATGTATAAAAAAAAATATGATAATGCTATTAATGATTGATGGAATAAAATAAAGATATTTTTGAATTTTAGGTTTACAATTATAAAAATAGGAACAAAATTTATGTTTTTTTTTTTTTTTTTTTGGTTTAAATAATGCTGGTAGTGTCTTGTTATGTCAAAAGAGGAAATAGGAAGATGATTAATTATTTAATATGATCAAAATATTATTACTATTTTAATTTTATGATGGAAATATCAGAACAGGAGATAATGAATTTTTTGGGGTAAAGTTTACTATTCAAATACAATGGAGGGGCTAAAAAATTATATTTTACCTTATTAAATAATTTGGGGAGGAAAAAGTAAATTCAGTTGGTGCGTCCGTGAGGGAATGAATATTCAGAGGCGGAGAGTCACCGCCGCGACGACCGTAGACGCAACGATTGCCGACCGTTGATACGCCGGCACACCGTCACAACTGATGGTCGACTTTATAAATGCACCTGATGGTCCTGTAAGCAACTCAGGTGAGTAAAAATGAATTTACTCGTAGCTGATTGGAATTGAAATTGAAATTGGGTGAGGTTATTATTATTTAATCTCATAATACTGATTCTCTGGCCTAGGCCTAGGCCTCCACACCAATCTGCTTCTACTACTCAATAGAGTTTGCGGTTTCATTCATCATCAACCTATTTGTCACAACTGTGTTTGCTAAGGCATTCTTTGGGACTGACCAGGCTAGCAGCATTCGTCTGGGGAATGCTGTCCTGGGCAGTATTGTGTTTTAAAATCTTTAGAATTTAATTTGATTTATATATTTTTGAGTTTGCTTTGAGATCATGCAACTTTATGTTTCCTTAAGTTGGTTTTGTTTGTCAAATAGTGAGTAAAGCTGTAAAGAAGCAGCTGATGTAGTCTGCTTTGCCCATAGTTAAGTTCATTTCTATTTATTTTGATTTTAACAAACATGTGTGCACTTCAAAATCATACCGTAGTATATAATTTTGTCCCTTCATGAAGTTGTTTTGCTTTCAAGTATTGATTTGACCTGGAGAAGAAACTGCTAATGCAATCTGATTTTGCTAAAAGTTTTTAGTTGCTGAAATGCTACCAAACCAAAATGAAGTTTGAAACTGAACTTATTCAAACCGAACCGAACTACAATGTTAATCCGAATGGTTTCATTTTTTCAAAACTGAACATACCGAAACACCCACCCATATCTATGAGTTTCCACATCTATGCAGTTAAATTGTGTAATTCAAGCTAATTTTACGTGTTTTTATTCGGGCAATTCGGAAAAGACTAATCAACTACGTGCTCAGGGGCATTTTTCACTTGATGTCGTCTTCCATTAGTGCCTCAAGCCCATGGGGTATCCTTTCTATGAATAAAGTCCTATTTAGAGTCTCCTGAGCCATCATAGCTAGACATTGGCACATTCATTCCTTTTAGAATACAGTTGGTTTATGTCATTGATCATTTCACCTGAATTAGCATCTGACAATCTAACACAAGCATGTTTCTAGAGCATGTCTAGTGATCGCCTTTTTTTTTTTTTGGTATACAACCAGGTGTTCGCTCATCCGAGTTACCTGGGACTAGTTTCAAGAGCTCTGCTGCAATCACTTTTTCCTGATCATTGCATTTCCAGCTGCTAGGATTCTTGAGAATGATATTGAAATTTAAGCACTTCCAGCATTTCTGGCGTTTACAGAGTAGAGAAGGTTTGAACTTGTGTAGAAATAATGTTTACTGTGGTGAAGGGAACACGATGTTGACCAATACACTATGCACAGTGACGGGGATGAGTGAAGTTGATAAGCTGCCTAAGATGACCGAGTCTCCAGAGCTTCCAGGTTGGGTTAAATTACCAGGGAAAAGCAAACAGGATACTGATATGTCTGAGGATGATGATTTTGTAATTCCTTCATTGTGGAGCTGGATTGAAAATGACAAGTTTCAGAGGCAAGAAGTTGGTGCCAACAGTTTGAAAAGTGACATTGTTGATGTTGATAAGATTGGTGAAACCTTGAAAAATCATTTCAAGTCACCTGATGCTGTTGTTCAAGCATTAGGTGCCTGCAATATTGATGTGTCTGAGGATTTGTTAGAGAAAATTCTCAAAAGATTCAGCTGTGAGTGGATTAAATCTTATGGGTTTTTTAAATGGGTTAAACAGCAGTCAAAGTTTAAGTTTTCCCCTGATTTGTACAATCTGATGATCGATAACCTAGGGAAGGCAAGGAACTTTGTTGTAATGTGGGAATTAGTGAAAGAAATGAGTGATTTACAAGGGTATGTTACGTTGGATACAGTCACTCTTGTCATTAGGAGGCTTGCAAAGGCTGGGTACTATGAAGATGCAGTTGAAGCAATGTCAAGAATGGAGCAATTTGGAATCCAGAAAGATACATGTATGGTGAATATATTGATTGATGCATTGGTAAAGGGAGGAAGCGTGGAGCGTGCATATGATGTTTATTTAGAAGAAAAAGTTCATATAGCTCCAAATCTTCGTACATTCAATGTGTTAATCCATGGGTGGTGCAAAATTAGGCAGACCGAGAAAGCCAAGAGGACCATCCAAGAGATGGTGCGACATGGTTTTGCTCCAGATCCTGTTACTTACACTTGCCTTATTGAAGCCTATTGTCGTGAAAAAGATTTTCGCAAAGTTGATGCTACTCTAGATGAAATGCGGAAGAAGGGGTGCCCTCCAACTGTGGTTACATATACAATAGTTATAAAATCCCTTGGACATGCAAAGGAAGTTAACAAGGCTTTAGAGATATATGAGAAAATGAGGGAAAGTGGTTGTGTTCTTGATGCTAATGGTTACGGGGTTCTAATTAACATCCTCTATAACTCTGGGAGACTCAATGATTCCAGTGATGTATTTGAGGATATGTCAAAACAGGGAATCACTCCTCACCTGCTGACATTCAATACTATGATCCGTTATGCTGCTAAGAACTTGAAAGAAGAGGAAGCTCTCACATTACTTAAGAAAATGGAAGAATGTCAATGCAAGCCCGACCTTAACACATATGCACCATTGTTGAAGATGTGTTGCAAACTGAAAAGAATCAAAGTATTGTCCTTTTTGCTGAACCACATGTACAAGAATGATCTCAGCATGGATCTTGGGACATATGCTCTTTTGATTCGTGGGCTAAGCAGGATTGGGAAACATGAGCAGGCTTGTTCCTTTTTTGAGCAATTAGTTCTTAAAGGAATTTTACCAACAGACACCATCTACACCAAACTGGTTCAAGAATTTGAGAAAAAGGGCCTTCATAAAGAAAAGGAACGGATCAATCAACTGATGATTGAAGCTAAACTGCACACTTCTGAAGATAAACAGCATGGTTCAAGTTTTCTGGGCATTCAAAGTTCAACAAGGATCAAGTAAAGCTACTCTTTGTGGTCCATATTCTTAGATAGAAGGTAGTTTTTAATTTCATCCCTTTAAATAGCATAGCTACTTTCAAGAACACAATTGACCTTTATGGCAACTTGGCAACAACCTCTTAGGAAAGCCAGAACATCCAAGCTAAGTTTAGTAGATGGTTTGATTTAATTTTAGTGACTTGAAATGGGGTGTTATTTCCATTTTGTGTCCCTTCGTGGTAAGGTGGCATGAAATGCTGGTGACTTTTGCATCCGTGCTAGTTCACCTATTACTAGTTGCTTGTAGGAAATATGCATGCTTAAACATTAATGAAAATCCCATGTTCTTTAAGCTTATGTTCACGTACTTTCTTAACCTCTCAGGTTTTCATTCTTTTTACATTTTGGATTATGGCACTGCATATGAAGTTGTGATTGTGTGTATTTGTGATTTGTCTCTTTGTGTGTGTGTGTTTTTTTTTTTTTTTTCCTTTTTAAGTGAGAAATTGGAATCAAAGAATGATTCCAGAGTGGGTCCTATTTTTTGTTGGCATTCACCACACAGGTAACCCCATCCAAGATTAGTAGAAGAGAGCAAAATGTGCCAATTGGAGTGAGGATATCTTACCTTATCCACACTCCTACCACAACCTTGATTACACTCACTTTCACACCACTCCACATCACCCACCCTCCTTAAGTAATCATAAACCCAAAAATTAAAATAACAATAAATAAAAAGAAAACCAAAATTTCTCATCAATCTAGCTTTCTCGATCTATAGTGATAATGGCTGCCATGAACTCCAGTGTATTGGCATGCAGCTATGCCATATCAGGGGCTGCTTCATCTGAGCTCAATGCAAAGGCTGCTTCAATGTCGGCATCCATGGTCTCACCCCCTTCAAAGCTGCTGGCAATCAAGGCCCAACAACAACCACCACCAAGAACAGCTTTGGATTCCGAAAACGGCAGCCAGCAAGGGAGAAGAGCTGCCCTTCTCGGCCTCGCAACTGCCCTTTTCACCGCCGCAGCATCCACTTCCTCAGCAAACGCTGGCGTCATTGAGGACTATCTCGAGAAAAGCAAGGCCAACAAGGTACACATCATGTGTTGTTAATATTGTTAAGCTGCATAAAACAATGTTTGAGTAACGAGGATCCAACATATATGAAACCAGAGGCTATATATATATGTGTTTGGTTGTAGGAGTTGAATGACAAGAAGAGGCTGGCAACAAGTGGAGCAAACTTTGCAAGAGCATACACAGTTCAATTTGGGAGCTGCAAGTTCCCTGAAAACTTCACCGGCTGTCAAGACCTTGCCAAGCAAAAGGTTTGATTTTGAATCAAATGTTTCATGAAAATTCTTTTTTTTTCTGGGAATTGTGCAACAAAATAATCCCTTTAAATAATTGCAGAAAGTGCCATTCATCTCAGATGACCTGGAATTAGAATGCGAAGGGAAGGACAAATACAAGTGTGGTTCCAATGTTTTCTGGAAATGGTGAAATGTGGGACTGTGAGACCGCTCATTTCATTCATGCCTAATTAATTATTGAATGCTCTTTTTAGATTGAACTTGTATCTCTTCTTCTTCCATGTATTATCTCTACTGCTTTCTCCTTCAATACTTTGCAACCTCTCATCCTACGCACAATGTTTTGACAATAAAAGAAACATGAAACAGAACCCAACTCAAATCTTAACAACTGAGAGGGATACCTTTTACTGTATTATTATAGTCCTAAGATAATACGGACAATGTAAACATTCTAATTCTTGCTGTGTTAGGGGGTGTTTGGTAAATAGATGTAGGGCTGTGCAGAAACCGAACAACCCGACCGACCCGAACCCGAGGAGAAGCAATTGGGCGGCAACCGAACCCGAAGAGGCTTACCCGATCCAAACTCGTCCTCATTTTCCGGTTATAAGAAGCTGGTTTGGGGGTTATAAATTCCCCCGAACCCCGTCCGACAACCCGATTTAGGGTTAGACTTTGTATACCTAAGGGTATACGACGTCGTGTAAGCGTAGTATATATGTTGCGTTGTAGGGTTTGTATCTGAAACCTTTGTCATTTGCGCAGCTTTGAGCTTTTGAGAACTCTCTAGACTCTCGTTCTCTCTTCTCTCTATTCTGAAATCTGAAACCCTAGTTCTTGCTTCTTTCTCTCCAGTTCTCTGAGTTCTCTCGTTCTCTCTAAGTCTTTGAGTGTGAATCTCCGGTGGAAGCTAATATTGTTCGGTGGAAGCCCTATTCTGTTATTCGGTGTGTTATCGACCGGTGCGGTGGATTGTAGATTGCTAGCTCGGAATCAAAGCCCTTTGTTCTCGGAGTTTAATTTAGTATCTAACTGAATAAATAAGTAAATAACTGCTAGTGCCTAGTGTAATAGATTAATACTGTAATACTAAGTTATTAGTATTACTAAGTAGTCTATTAACTATCACTAAGAGTCTAACAAAACTTACAGAAATAAAGTTAACCAATTAACTGTTACAGAGTACAGACCAAAACTACAAAAGGATCAAAACTCTACACAAGTGTTATTTTTAAGTGTAAAGGATCAAATTTACAAGTGTTATCTACCAAAAATTGTGCTTAATCAGCAACAAATCAACAATCAGCAAGACAACAACTCAGCACAGCAAGTGTGAATTACTCTTAGACAATTTGACCTACTCTTCTTCCTGTGAATTGTGACAACCGACAAGTTAGTGAAAATAATTATTATTACATCTAAAAAAATGAAACACAGAGAAGGGATTATATCAATTTTGGCTCGTTAAGCATTTTTCCATATCATTTGAATTAAGGGCAAATTGCTTCAATATAACTTAAGTATAGAGCAATTCACCAACTTAATCCTTTTCTTTTCAGATTAAAGGTGGAAGCTTCATCATTGCAAATGCCAACTTAAAGGAAAGAAACATAATAAAATAGACAATAGTTCATACATTACCAACCAAATGCCCAAGGGACTGGATTACTTGAGGCAGCAACTTAGTAAAAGTTACCAGACCTTCATACTTACAGAGTTACAGTCAGTCTTACAGATGTGAGACGTCCAAGCATTCAAGCCAGTAACTAATAACATCAGTCATTCAGTCACAATGGCCTCAATAAATACCAAGTGCGATTAGTTTGCAATTGAGTCAAATACTGTAAAAGATTGCAAAAAATCAAGTAAGTAAATCAACTAATGTCAAGAATATCATTACAGGAACTGTAGCAAGTGTAGAACCAAGAGACTTCCCACTTCCACCATCAGCACTTAACTCTGCAAAATAAACATATAAGTATTAGTATAAAACAGTAAAAAAACTAATGACAAAACTACTAAAGAGTAAAGACCTAAAGTTATACCTTTTTCAAACCTCTCCAACTCTTCCAGATTCTCCCTTATGTAGTATTTTGCATTCTAAGTCAATCTTGTGTACACACCAATGCTTCCACAATTTTTGGAGTTAAAGAACTTTACTGCTAGACGTACAATGCCTTTTTATGACATGGTAAAGAACTTTACTGGAATTAATGACATGGGTGGGGGTTTCAGAATTTTACCATTCAAGCCTTAGGGGCATCCTTGTACTGCTAGACGTACAATGCCTTTTTATAAGTCATTTACCATCTCAGGTTCCTCATTTCAGCAACAAAGACATCAACAGTCTCATAACTTTCCATGTGCGACAAGGATGACTCATAATCTTGCAGGAAACTGCAATAGATTCACAATTTGAAATGACGAGGAAGACGGCCAGATTCACTTAGCAGCCTTAAGATCTCTCTGGCAAAATCTTGGTTGCCAGTGAGCAAAAGCCCATTTAAAACCCCGATTGAAGGTGAATCTTCTAGGCAGAAATCCTCTACCAACCATTTCCACTAGCAACCTGCCAGCCAACTGCAAATCATCTGATTTCATTCTAACAAACATTGAGCTGATCAAGATATTGTACGTGTCCAGATTGGGTAAGCAATCCCGACAGTTCATTCTGTCAAATACCTCTACCGCCTTCTCGATTTCTCCTTCATCACAATAGTAACGGACAATAACATTGTAAGTCTGAATATTTGGCTCGCATTTATCGTCCTTCATTTTATCTAAATACTTCACAGCCTCATTCATCCTCCCTCGATGACACAATCCCTTAATAACAGCATTATAGGTCACGATATTAGGCACATAACCTTTCCTCACCATCTCCTCAAACACCAAAATAGCATTTTCCACACTATCCTTCTTACACAACACTTGAATCAAAGCATTGTAAGTTGCAATCAGCTCCAACCATCTCATTAAATATCTTGCGAGCTTTATCAACCTCACCAAACAACTCCAAAACCATGAACCATAGTTGTATACGTCACTACGTCAAAATCACACTTCTGCTTCTTCATTTGCAAAAAAATTCCCAGGCTTCCTTAACCTGACCTGCTCGAAGAAAGCCTTTAAGCATTATATTATATGTCGTTATGGTTGGATTCAATCCTCTCTCTACCATTTCCTTCAAAATGTTTTGAGCTTTGGGTGTTTTGTTTAA